AATATATGACGTTAAAAGTTCTGAAAATATTTTGAAGGTACAAGTGATTCACTGAGTGAGATGTCTTATGAAAATATGGAAGATGTATGGTAACGTCTCTACAAAGTAGGCATCTATGCGAAAGCAGTAACTAAGTTCTTTTTTTTTTAAGAACTCGAATGATCAGCAAAACATCCAAGCTACTTTCTATAACAATTATTACAAACTTGCATGTAATGCAAACCTTTTTCTCTACCAAATTACTTCATAAATGGAACTTTGGAAATGGAAAACTTCGTGTCTCAAACTCCAATTTCTTGCAAGATGCACGAGAACGTAAAATATTGTTTGCCAATAAAATTAAAAAACCAATGAAGGAAGCAGGAAGAGAACGTAAAATGAGATAAAATCAAAAAACAAAAAGAAAAAATTGCAGTACTGTTTTTTTTTCTTTTTCGAAAACAGGGAAATTTTTGCTGAGATGCAAAATTATGAGAGAAACATTAAATGAACAAAAAGATCAAAAAATCAACAAAGTACAAGAAACAAATCAATCATAAGATTTAATGGTTCAGTATATATCAAATTCTAGTAAGCTTTTCGCCGCAAAATTTCTGGTCTCCAGAGGATCGGATGCGTGTCTTCGGTCTGCAAATAAATTTCTTAGTGAAAAAGCCAAATTTATTTTTTTTTCCGTTTTTGTACTGAAAAGAGAATGATGGCAGAGCTATCGATTATGTTTTTTTGTGACAAAAAACTCGCATTCTTCAGTTATTACAAGGAGCAATCGGATTCATTAGATTAAGAATAAAAATAAGAAATATAAGAAATAAGAAAAAAAATAAGAATAAAAGAAAACAAACCGCATTCTCATCTTCTTTGTACATTTTGATTGTCTTATCAGCTTCTGCAGTAATTAATCGAGAACCTGATTGGTCGTATGTAACTGCGAATATTCCAGCTTCTGAATCGATTGAACCTGGCTGAGCTTTAGTCTGTTCACGCTGGAAGCAAAAACCACTCTTCCAATCCCAAAAATTCAGAGAACCATTATCACCTGGAAATCACGACATTATATTTTATCATTTAGAATTAGTACTTCGTTAAACTCGAATTTTTCCCTTTAGAATTCATATTGTAAAAACCCTATCAAAATAATAATCAATGAATAAGCTTTATCTTCTATTCAATGTAAATGCAGCGGAAGGAATATCAAAGAAAAAATTACTTCGTATTGTCTTAGACATCAAAAATTACCTCCAGAAATAAGAACACCATCTTCATTACATGCAAGTGAATTAATGATTGCATTATGCCCTGATAAATTTTGGATGAATATTCCTTCCGGACACTTCCACTCTTTTATATTGTCAGCACTTCCCGATGCAAACATGAAGAGTGACGGATGCAATGTTAACGCTCGGATACTTTTCTGAAAAAAATGCCGTATTAAGGACATTCATCTCTCAGTATACTAGCAGTACATGCGCTTCATTTTGAAATCTACAAAAATAAACTTTATCTGCTCCTGGAACTAAATGAGAGGTCTTTGGCATCAGTGCGACAGACCAAGTACTGGGTTTTGTAAGATATATATTATGTTGGTCTTACAAAAAGAATCCTGCTAAAGTCATTTTTACTTTTTAAACCATCCGCAACAAGTAGAAATTAAATCAACTATTAAAAATTAGTGCGAAAAACAACCTTATGATGTGTTAAAGTACATATACTTCGTCCAGCAGCAAGATCCCAAAGGCGGATTGTGGAATCATGACTACCTGTGATAACCTGAGGATCAACTTCCTGTGAAATAACTGTTGCAACTGTGTTTGTATGCCCACTCAAACAATGGACTTGAGCTTTAGTTCGCATATCCCAAACCTAAATCTGGCAAATTAGAAAATATATAAAAATTTATTTATGAAAAACCACTTATTTATGAAAAAGTATAGCAACCCATAATGAAGAATAGACACAGTCTCAGCATTTTATTTTGGATCATATCCTCAAAATTTTTACTCGTGCAGTAGCATCCCGAGCACAGGTAATTAAAATATCAATTGTCGGATGAATAGTAAGATCCTGAACAGCACTCAGATGTCCATGGTAATGGCGGATGACTTTGTTGTACTCGAGATCCCAACATTTTACCTGAAAATCGCGGTAGGTAATTCTTGTTCATGAATATCAGGAATATCTACTAGGGTTACATTTATCTGTCGACAATAAAATTAAAACATTCTTTATAAGTCAAGGCGAATAAACATCTAATTTAGAAAAATAAATTCAGTCCACCTGCTTATCTTCACCACCCGTGAAAAGGAATGGATGTCTTCGTGAAACTTTACAGCACCTGACGGCGCTTACGTGTCCTGTTAATGATAATCGCAATTTTCCGCTTGCGAGATCCCAAATCTATAAGAAATAGAGAGATAACAACAGCAACCGTTTAACAAAAGCGACCGATTATTTATACCTTCCATTGTAAAATTAAGTCTATGTTTCAGTTCAGAACGAACAATCTGTGCAGAAACTTGGGGCACCTATAGGAGCAAAATTATTACAAACCTTTACAATTCGGTCTGCACCACCTGTCGCAAACCATTCATTACCCGGTTCAACATCCACACATCTCACCCAACCTGTATGGCCCGAAATCACCCTGAAATGAATAATAAAAGTATTACACTGCTGGCATTGACGGTAGGAAATATCAAATTCAAAGTAAAGCTTCTACTTATACGAATATACCTGTATAGTTTCCATGGTGCGTGCCATTTAGGTTTGATCATGACAGGAGCTCGAGCAGGTAACACTGCACGCATCGTGTTATCGTCTGATCGACTGGATGTTGTTAAATCAGAACTGTCTTTTTCACTGAAAGCATTTCCTGCTATGTAAAAATAAAATCACAGCAGAACTGCAGATAAAAAAACTTTAGATATCGAAAAGTACTGACTTTGTGGCTTCTATTGCACCAGTAGTTAATGCAAGTGTCCTTGAGGGGCCTTCACCCGAACTACCTACAACACTTGAATTAATAGGCAATTTTAGTAGTTCCTCTTCTTTCTTCCTCTTCGCTTCACTCACTTCTTCCATAACACTTCCATATTCTGATTTTAACTTCACGGCTCGCCATAAACTATCACTGAAAGAAAGCCATTAAAAATTCCAGTAAGAAGTTTGGTGCAGTTCTACTTTCTACAGTCTCATATTGATATATTCACACTGATAGTACAATAACCAAAAATTTCTCCCATTGTTCGTCGGGGATTTATAGCGAATCTTCTGAGGGATACAGACTTTTTATTTCATTGTTTAAATCCCTCATCCACTGCGCACTAACAGAATTAAGCCTCGCGTAGACTGGAAGTACGCCAATCCACCATCTCGATATCCAGCTCCCATAAATAAAACTTACGCTTCTGAATTCAATTCAGGCAAAGTTCCATAGTCATGATAAAAGAGATCATGTGTCCGTTTCATCGACCTGAATACCAAATTTAGCAATGCCTTTTGCTGCGGTGTTTCCGGTGCTTCAAAATGTTGTGGCGTTGTAAGTGATTCTGACAACGTTCCTTGTTCAGATCCGGGGACAGCAATTTGTTCCATTATCCTCAACAACAATTAAAAAATTAGAGCAAAATTTACCAAAAATTAAATGCATATCCTACTTAAAACAAACGGCGACCCAAGGTAATTGTTCCTTACACTAATTAAGTTAAAACTTCAATAAATCCTCATTTTCATAGTATTATATGACACTTATGTAAGAAGCACACACTTTAAAAAATGAGTTAACCACCTCACAAAAATATCTGAAATATATAAAATCGTGCCAGAACAACAAAATACTAATGATGAGGAATTTTTTAATGCTTTTATGCAAGATATACGTACAAACAATAACAAAAAATGGAAACAACCCTTTGTGGAAATTAGTAATTAATTTTTCCAGCAGCAGAAAATCCTTACTTAACATTACAATTAAGGATATTTTGACCATTATCCGCAACCCGTTATCAGTCATATCAAGTTTTGAAAATGGCACGAAAATTTCCAGAGTTTTCAAAACATCAGCATAAAACTCCTTAAGATCACAATGATGACAATTCAATTGCAGCTTTTCCTTTTTGTTTCGGCATTTTTCGGTTCGTCGAATCTTCTAGTTCTTTGGCTCTATAATAGTGTGGTGCGACTTCCGTTAACCAACTGCTTTCGATTTCGATGACCTTAAAATCTAGTTACTTAAAAAAAAATCAAAAAAAAACTATCAAAAAATGATCTCTTTTTTGTGCAAAAAGTATAAATTACTTTTTATTTTTCATTAGTGATAGTGCAACAAACATCTATGGCCTTAAATCTCGATTCGAAGCATTAATTTTCTGAAAGCCCATAAACACTTTAATCCTTACCTCGCGCATGAATTCTTTCGATGTGAACACAAGCTCGAAATAAATCATCCATCGAGGAGTTTCTTCGAACAGAGAGGAATTTGGATGAATATGAACTGTGTGCTTATGCTTAACAGTTTTATAGTGCCCGCTACTATCAAGTTTGGCGCAATTGTAGAAATATCCTGCCGTGATTGTTTTTCGAATTGCTATTGAATCATTGTTTGAAACCTTAAAATGATTATCTTAATCCAAAATCCAATTAAATTATTGGTCATTTATATCCAGTGTCGTAAACAAGAAGAAATATTTACAGAAATGTATTTACAGTATCGTACAAAAAAAATATATTATATAGATAGCAAAATAAAGTAAAACACGATGCAATATCACTTCTTACCAACCAGTGATTGACCTCCTACTAGGGAATTTACATAACGACAGCTATGAATATAAAATTTGGATTAAAAAAAAAGATTAAAAAAAACTGTTTATAAAATTGTATTCAGTAAGACTTCCTATTCTTTTGTATACCCGCTTCTTCGGAACCAGGTTTATATTTGTATTTATTTTTCTTTTTTTTTATATTTAAATTTTACAAAACCAGCATAAAATCAAGCCAAGATA